AAACACACAGCTGCTTGGTATTGCTGCTGATGAGTGGCCGGAAAGTTTCGATGAGCTGCTCGCTCGTGTTTGTGAGCGTTCTGATGCCCGCCGAGTGCTTGAGGGGAGTCAAACAGCCGGGGGCAGTGGGGACAAGGAAATCGCGGAGATAAGGTGATGGACGGAGCTGCTGTATGGCTGGTGGGTTTTGCACCAGAAGGCAGGTTGCTCCTTGAGCGGTCTGCCATGTTGAAAGTTGCAGATAGGGGATGAGGAGGAGGAGGCGTGGGTTGGGAAATTTGGTTGCGTGGGTTATTTATTTATAGAGGAGAAAGGAATAACTAAGATGGCAATGGCTAGAAACACAAGAGAATCTCAATTTTTTATTTGTGGTTATATACTATCTACTAGAAAAGAAATGGATAGAAAAACTAGGGAATGTGAATTTTTTCTCTCTTTTCTTCTAACAATCAGCGTTTTCTTTCTTCCTTTTACAGATGTACCCTTAATATTAATTTAATGTATTGATGACGCTTTCTTGTGAATCATGATAATATGATTCTTCTTGAATTGTGTAGTTTTGATGGGAATATTATTTGAATGGTCTATTAAAAAGTGATGATTCACTTAAAAATTTAGTTCCTTAAATATAATTGAAATTGAATTTCTATATACCTACACCAATTGAAATTGTGTAGTTATAATGTAATTTTTTCTACGGTTTTTTTGTGAATGTAGCTATAATTTATCCATATACCCACAAATTATAAATCATAACTAATAGAACCATATACCTATAAAATAGATGTACCCTTAATATTAATTTAACGTATTGATGACGCTTTCTTGTGAATCATGATAATATGATTCTTTTTGAATTGTGTAGTTTTGATGGGAATATTATTTGACTGGTCTATTAAAAAGTGATGATTCACTTAAAAATTTAGTTCCTTAAATATAATTGAAATTGAATTTCTATATACCTACACCAATTGAAATTGCGTAGTTATAGTGTAATTTTTCCTACGGTTTTTTTGTGGATGTAGCTATAATTTATCCATAATTTATCCATATACCCACAAATTATAAATCATAACTAATAGAACCATATACCTATAAAATAGTGAATGTAGGTAAAAAAAAGCGTAGCTAAATGGCAAAAATGCTGTAGTGCGCAGATGTGGATGATTCTTCTGCCGATATTGATCTAACCCTCCGCCTGTGAAGCAGGACGTTTCTCTTTCTCTTAACTTCTTTCTTTTTTTGTTCCTG